GCAGCCCGATTCGTAACCACTACGCTACCAGAGCTCCTTGGCTTTGCATTAATCCACAGCACCACACCAGGACTCAGCGTGTCTATTAGGCAATGGGCAACTGAGATTTGCAGGTTGGTCAGGAGGGAGATCTGGGCTAAAGTTATCCATATGGAAGTACTTCTCTTCAAAGTTGTTTGAGCTCCCAGTGTGCCTCAGAGTTGTGCCTGTGAACAAGTGTGGATGTTGGTTACGGAGACTAGGTGGAGCAATGGACAGGATTCTAATGAAACTGTAAATGTCAGAGTTAAGCCAAGATCAAAGGATTCTTTGACTTCAACTCCTGTGCTTTGCTGCTCTCTCAAGGGATGATTCCTTTCTCACATCTGTATTCCCAAATTGCCATGCATACTGCTTAAGCACTTGTTGTTGTTAAATGCTGTCACTGTTGAGTCAGTTCCAGCCCATAGCAAGCCTGTATAGGGGTTTCTGAGGAGCAGCTGGTGAGCTTGCACTGCCGATCTTGTGGTTCAAACCAACTTTGCAGTCCAGTGCATTAACCCACAGCACCACACCAGTACTTAGTAATTGTTGAAGGACCCAAGTGTACTGAGTTCTGCAATGAATCCCTGTTTGTGTCTGTCTCTGCAGGTGATGACCATGCCAGAATATCTGAAGAAGCGCTTTGGTGGGAAGCGACTCCAGATCTACCTCTCCGTTCTGTCCCTGTTTATCTGTGTGGCCTTGAGAATCTCAGTGAGTTCATAGCCTCCTGGTAATTTGTTTTTGAGTAATTGATTGCCTTTATGGATAGAGTGCTGAGATCAGAGAACCAGTTGAAGAGACTACTGACTGTCTTTACAGCTGGAGATATGTGGGTATCTTAATAAATCTACCAAGTCTTTGTGCACAAACAGGAACTTAAAGAGAATCTGCATTCATAGACTATTAGACTTTTAAGTTATGAGAACCTTCAGAGTGTAAGTTCACCTTTTCATTAAGGATATGAAAAAATATATATGGATCTACAGAAAGAGCAAAATGACTCGTTGAAGTAACACAATTGTTTAATAATGGAAAAGAGGAAGAGTTCTCTGGGATCCTGTCTTTCTACTACACAGTATCTTCTTTATCTGACTCATGAACCCAAAGAAAAGTGTTTTGCATGCTCTACACTGAATTTTCTTAAACTTACTCTATTTCATATAAGATTACCCATGCAAATGAGAACGTGCAATAATTAGGAAATTGTTAAAAAGATTACATTCCTATGAGATAATCAGGGTGGAATTAAAAAAAAAAAATAGAAGATTCAGCAGCATGTGTAGAAAACAAAGAAAGAGTAAATCGTTTGCTTCTCCTCCATGAGTGACTAATTAAATAATCTGGAAGTTTCCAGTCCAGGCAGTTGTTCCAGTGTTCATTATAGAAGTTGACCCTCATTACTACTCTTGTGTTAAGGTGATTCACCACTGGAAATAAGCCAACTGTTTAGATTAGATAGCAAAAGTCTTCCTAATGCAATGTGGACATTTTTCACCACTTACTGTTTGCTATCGAGCTCCATGTTAATGGTAACAAAGATTCCTGTGTGTTTGGAGTTCACCAGAATCATATACACAAAATAATTAGCTTCTTATGACAATATGTGAAAATGTGAGCTGAAATACAGTATGTGTGGACAAGTGCTATGGACACTCAGTGAAGAGAGTTGATCCTGCTTAGTGGAATACAGAAAGGGTCACCCTCTTCATGGAGGAGGCATTAGACAAATCCCCAGGCTATGACAGTTTAGGAGATGCAGATGGAAGCAAAGATGCCCATATGTGCTGGGTCCTTGTTCCACAAATAGTTTGAACTCATTAATCTCCTAGTCCTCCTCCAACTCTATATGATTCTAAAGACCATGAACAAGGTACTGAGGCAGAATAACAGACCAAAAAGGCCCCAAAGGATGCAACTCCCTGGGATGGAGAGTTCTAGGTGGTGAGGAGAGGCTAGGGGAAGGGGTCAGAACTTTGCACAGCTGGGAATGAAGAAAGGGCAGCAGTGAACATCAGGACTGTGTGTGATGCAGATTTTCAGCTGGCAGGAGTCCATTCTTCCCTCCAAGGATGTTTTAAGTGATATTAATAGCCATTAATCAGAGCCATGACCTTTTGTGTACTTTTACAATCTGATAATAGATTCAGCTGTGGTTACTTATTAAACAACTAATTGTGGGGAATTAGGACTATTTTTATAATCTTCCCCTACCCCAGGCTTAGAGAAGATCATCTTGTTCACTGGTTAGTTTCAATCATCTATGAGGATAAGTCAAAAAATATTGCTACAAAATCACAGAAATGTTTATTAAACAAAAATACCAAAATGTGAAACTATTGTTTCTGAACATGTCTTCCATATAAGTCTACACACTTTTGAAGAAAGTGTTATGGGTGCATAGAAGAATGAGAGTAATGATTGGCACTCTATGAAAGCTATTGTTTGAGGAACATCCAAATGAGTTTCGAAGACTCAGTAGAAGTCAACTAGGAAAATAAAAGAGAAGATATTGGAGCAGAGAAACCTCATGTTTCTTTTCCATTCTAATTGTTCCTTTCCAGTCAGACATATTTTCTGGAGCCATATTCATCAAGCTGGCCTTGGGATTGGACCTTTACTTGGCAATTGTCATCCTTTTGGCTATCACTGCTGTTTACACCATCACTGGTAAGTCCACTGAAAGTTTATTTCACACTCTGCCTTCTGCTTACCCCACTCCAACTTTCAATTAGAACATCAGCATTAGCCTTGTTGCCACCAAGATATAGACACCATTCTATTACCACTGCAAGAGTCAATCAAATACAGGCCCAGAAACACAACCAGAGCCAAGAAAAAACTATCTTCAGTATGCAATATGAGTACCTTGATTATAGCATGTCAGATGGATCTTGGCTAAAAGCAGAGGATTCCAGAAGTATATTTACCTGTGCTTTATTGACTACAGAAAGCCTTTTGATTGTGTGGATCATAACAAGCTATAGGCAACATTGTGAAGTATGAGTATTCCGGAACACTTAATTGTGCTCATGAGAACCTGTACATAAACCAAGAGGCAGCTGTTTGAACAGAACAAGGAAACACTGAATGGTTTAAAATTAGGAAAGATCTGCACCAGGGTTGTGTTCTTTCACCATATTTATTCAACCTGTATACTGAGCAAATAATCTGAGAAACTGGGTTATATGAAGGAAAATGTGGTATCAGGATTGGAGGATGACTCATTAACAACCTGCGATATGCAGATGACACAACCTTGCTTGCTGAAAGTGAAGAGGACTTATAATACTTACTGATGAAGATCAAAGACCACAGCCTTCAGTATGGGTTGTACCTCAATGTAAAGAAAACAAAATCCTCACCACTGCACCAGTAAACAGCATCCATATAAGTGGAGAAAGGACTGTAGTTGTCAGACTTCTTCATTTTGCTTGGAACAACCATCAATACTCATGGATAAGAGGTCTTTAAAGTACTCAGTACTCATGCTGCATATGAGATCTTTAAAGTATTGAAGAGCAAAGATGTAAGTTTGAGGACTAAGGTGTGCCTGACCCAAGTCATGGTATTTTCAGTAATGTCATAAGCATGCGAAAATTGAACAGTGAATAAGGAACAACATAGAGGAATTGATGCATTTGAGGTATCGTGCTGAGGGAGAATAGTAAAAGTACCATGGACTGCTAAAAGAACAAACAGATCTGTATTTGGAAGAAGTACAGTCAGAGTGCTCCTTGAAAGCCAGGGTGGCCAGACTTCATCTCTCATACTTTGCACATATTATCAAGAAGGACCAGTCAATGGAGAAGGTAAAGTGGATGGTCAGAGAAAAGGAGGAAGACCCCCAATAAGGTGGATTGGCAGAGTGGCAGCAGCAATGGGCTCAAGCTTAGAAACAATTGTGAGGTTGACCCAGAATCGGGCAGTATTTCATTCTGTTGTGCATAGGGTTACTATGGGTCAGTGCTAACTAGATGGCATCTAACAACAACAATCAACCCAGTTACTGAGGTGACAAGTACCGGCTCGATGGTACCTAACTACTATTATTAACTACCGTGATCAAAGATAACAATGAAAGTACTATCGATGGGGAAATGGTGATCTACTTCAGCTGTGTATTGAGTATCCAGATTGACAAATAGGAATCCAGCAGATAATACACATGGAAGGTTATGGAGACAGAGCAACACATACATGAGACTGGATAGCGCAAGGAGGTGCCCAATGAGTTAAGTACGCCGAGGCATGGTGGTGGGCTCTAAGTGGCAGAGCCAGGGATAATGAAATGAAGTAGAGCAGTGGGTTGGTTGTGAGGAGCAGTCATCCAAGCAGTTTCTTACAGACCAGGTACCTTGCAGTAGTGTCCCATTAATATTAAATCATGCAAGTTAAATGATACCTGCTCTGTAGGGAAAAAAAAAAAAAATGAGTAATCAAGATAGTTCTTAAGCCATTTTCATGCAGTGAGCATATGTTTCAGGGTAATTGAGAGATGGAGGTATGAATTTGTGTCTTAAGGATACTTTTTTGCTTCCCTATGACACTCTAATAAAGGAAATATCTTCCTGACTGTACGTGACTAGTGTGTGTAGATCTTAAAGAGAAGTTTAGGTATTTGTTTTGATATAACATTGTAGCAAAATACAAGTTGACTACTATACCTAGTACTCAACCAAAAAAGATATGCAAGGGTAGATCAAAAAATATGTACAAGGCTGCTTAATCAGATATATCATTCCCCTACAGCAAAGAACAAGAAACAAAAGGAAAAAGACTAATTTGGAATGCCAAGCAACAAACAAGGAGGAAGAATTAGATCAACACTGAAAAGACAGAACACTGAATGAAACTGAATGTGCACTGAAACTCCTTTGTTCCCCAATACCTACTGAGATGCCAGTTTGTGCATGTATATAGAGCCTATCCTCCCATTTGGCTAACACCTTCTTACAGAAGCTATGAAGACCCCATGCCCTGACCTCCAGAGGACACACTAATGCTAGCACCAACTTGTAAGGATCCATAGTCCCACAAGGGTTGTGAAGGGACCCTGGCCATTCAACACTTGTCACCTGAAAAGAACTTGCTCTCCCACCTCTAGTCAAGACTGTAAGAGAAGACATATTCGCCTAACCACAGAGACCTCTCACATGGATGTGATCCACCATACCCACTACAGGGAGAAAATCACACCCAGTCAACCAACACTACTCAAGCCCACAGAGATCAGTACCATAATACAATTAAAATATTGCAAAGGAAGGAAGGCATTCTAAAGAAAGAGAGAAGAAACAAAGTTCCTAAAAATGTATACATACTGTTGTTATTAAGTGCCATATGGGTTGCTATATAAGGTTTCTAAAGAGCAGCTGGTGTGTTTAAACAACCAACCATGCAGTTAGAAGGTTGATGGTAATATAGATATATATGTGTGTGTGTGTGTGTGTGTGTGTGTGTGTACATATATAAATGTTACTTTTAGTGCCATCAAGTTGGTTCTAACCTATAGCAACCCTGTATAGGATTTCCAAGGAGAAGCTGGTGAGCTTGAACTGCCAACCTTGTGGTTCAAACCAACTTTGCAGTCCAGCACATTAACCCACAGTGCCACATGGGAATGCAGTGGCTTCATGGGATGAGCACTGACCTGTTAACCACAAGATTGGCAGTTCCAGCCCACCAGTGACTCCGTAGAAGAAAGATGAGGCTTTCTGCTTCTGCAAAGATTTAAAAGCCTTGGAACTGATTCGACAACACTTCAAAGCAAATGCTAAACAACAAACAAGGAGAAAGAATTATATCAAACATTGAAGAGAAGGAAAACAATGAAAACAGAAAATAAGGAGATTTATGGATCATAGATGTCATACCAGCCAATCTATGATCTATGTTCCTGTTGTTAAGTGCCATCAAGTTGTTTTGACTCATAGTAACCCTGTATAGGGTGTCCGACTGGTACATTTGAACTGCCAACCTTGCAGTTAGTAGTACAGTGTTAATCCTACAGCACCACATAAGGACTTCTGTGTGTGTGTGTATGTGTGTGTGTGCTGTTGTTAATTGCTATCAAGTGAGTTCCAACTCAGCCACCTTGTATAGGGTTTCTGAGGCTATACATCTTTGCAGGAACAGAAAGCTCATCTTTCTTCTATGGAGTAGCTAGTGGGTTCCATATATACATATGGAGAGTGGTGGCTCTGTAGGATAAGCACTGTACTGCAAGCAACTAGAAATCTGTAAGATTAACAAAACAAAAAAAAATTAGAAATAGATAACTCAATAGAAGAACACAGAAGTAGAATTAAAACAGTGAAAGAAAGGGTCAGGAAAATAAGCACAAAACCCTTGAGAAATAATCAGAAAAAAATAATGAAGGAAAACAAAGTAAGTCTCAGTTATGTTGGATACCATCAAGAAGAATGATTTGTGCATAATAGGAACTCCAAAAGTGAGGGAAGGGGGAAAGTACAAAGTAAATGTTTGAAGATATATTGGCAGAAAAATTCCTAAATATCATGAAAGATGAGAAGGTTTATTTCTAAGAAGTTCAATGAACTCTATAAGGGATAGAGTCCAAAAGAAAATCACCAAAACAAATAATCAAACTTTCAAAAACCAAAGATAAAGCAATAATTCTGAGACCAGATTACATAAAACAAAATATGACTTACAAAGAATATTGATTTCTTGTCAGAACCATGGAGGCAAAAAAGTAACAGGATGGCATTTACAATTCTGAAAGCAAAGAACTTCCACCCAAGGACTATACAATCAGTAAAACTGTCTTTCAAAAATGATGGCAAAACTAGACCATTAAATAAAAATTAAAAGAATTTATAAAAATCAGACCAGCCTTACCAAAAAAATCTTAAATGAAGTTCTTTGGACAGAGAACCAACAGCATCAGACAACAGCCTGTGATAAAAACATACAACTGCTTCACCCAGAAACAACCCCAGATAAAGACTTCATAAAAGTAAAATACAACTGCAAAACTGATAACAGGAAACCAGAGATGTTAAGCTGTAAGTGATGACAAGTTCAAAACAAAAAGAGAGAATATGCAGTGTCATTTCATATGGAGGCAGTACCAACTTGTAACTGACTGTTTTAAACTTAGGAAGATAAAGATAAAGTTCATATTGATCACAAAGAAAATTTAAAAATCTGCCCACAAAAATAAAGAAGATTTAAAAAGTAAACACAAAAAGCAACAACATCAAAGAACACAAAAAGAAAATCCATATACAAAAAAAGGCACAGAAAATTAAGCAGACCAAAAACAGCATTGACATCACACATACAAACGGAATGTATAACAAAATGGCAGCAGTAATTTCATACCTACCATAATCACACTAAATATAAATGGATTAAATGCGCCATGGCAGAATGGAATTTTTTTTTTTTAAAGTGGTCTTTCAATATGTTGCCTTAATAGAGACTCAAAGATATAAGCAGGTTAAAAAATCAAAGGATGGGAAAAAAATATCTGAATCAAACAGTAACAAAAAGAGATATGGAATCCATTAATAATCTCTAATAAAATACACCTTAAGTCAAAATCCATTAGAACAGACAAACAAGGTCATTATACAATGATGAAAGGGTCAGTTCACCAAGACATAATAATACTAAAGATTTATACACTCAATGATAACTCC